TGTTGCAGCAAGCTGTCGAGCACATCAAGAAATCTCAGCAAGCAATGATTGCTTCTGAGAACAAACATCGTCGGCAGTCCTCATTTCAGGTAGAGGAACGTGAGGTAGGGGAACGTGTCTGGGTCAAGGCTAGTGAGCTAGGACAGGAATTTGGGATCTCTCGCAAACCAATGCCTCAATACTTTGGTCCATGGGAAGTCCTGGATATAGTTGGGGATGAGATGGATGGTCCTACCTATGTTATCCGTATCCCTGGTCATTTACGCACTCACCCTGTCTTTCATGCCTCAAAGCTTGCACCTTTTGCTGAGAAAGATCAATTCCCTTCAAGGAGATCGATGCTGCCCCCAACCATGGATGGTCAAGTGGACATCGACAACATTGTGGATCACAGAGATCTGCCTGTTCCAAAGCCACTGGGTAGAGGAAGACCTCCAAAACCCAAGCGGGAGTACCGCGTCAGATTTAGGCATCATACGGATCCGAAGGAAGATCGGTGGTTTGTGATACGCAACCTCACGCCCCCTCGCAGCTTCCCGTACGGGGTCGCCGATCGGAGTTCTAGGAGGGGCGTGGCCGAGGATTTTTGGTCGTAAGGCTTGAGTCTCCCGGACGGCACGAGAGGCCCTCGTTTCGTGGCCGAGGTTTTCCCTGGAGTCGAACTGTCGTCACGAAGTCCCGTGGGGGTCGGCTTACTCCGAAACGATAAAATCAGAAGGGTTTCTGTGAAAATGAATTGCCGTCGTGCATCGGGACAGGAAAAGGCATCAAGGGGAGGGGGCCATGGCGGCGGACGACAGAAACTCTGGCGGTCATGGGTTCGGGGGATAGGTGGTAGGTTCGAAGCCTTCAGGCCTCGTCATCGGCCTCCCGAAGTGGCCGGACCACCGGGTTTTTGATGTAGAGGTGGTTGGTTCGAGGCTCTCAAGCCTCGCCGTCGGACTCGCAGAGCCCGTGCGAAGGTTGGCGAGAGGGTGAAGCGGCGGGAGGGCTCGTCGGCATTCGAATTCAAAATTGCGCAGGCAGCGCCCCCGCGCTACGGGAAAGCTCAAGGAAACGTGTCGCTCCCTCGTAGCCCATGACCAGCCGTCGCCAAGAACACGAGTCCCCCTGGCGACACCAACGACAATCAAACTGCGGCCACCACGCGGCGTGAGCGGCCGACCAGGGCAACACAATCAAACCCGTATAAGGCAATATTAGAGTCGGGGAATCAAAACGCTCAATCAAGACAAACCCGTTCCCCCTTATATCACAACCCCGAGGCAGGTCTCGCCAACACACTTGCTCCGTTCGCCTCAGTGCACGCCGTACGTCTGCATCGCAGTAGACGCTGTCGTCATCTGTGATGGGGAAGGTCGGTAGCGCGAGGAGACGATCGGAGGTACGCGATGAACACGGGCAAGATCCCGCATTCCCGGTCATCCGAACCAACACCGACTCCATACAACACTCGACGCAACTCTTCTCTCTCAGAAGTGGGTGCGTAGGGGGAAGATGACGAAATTTAAGCTTTCTCCCCTTCGCGAGGGCGTCGACCGTCCGCGCGGACGCAGGCGGTTGACGTCACCGGTACGGCGACGAGAAGCTCTAAAAGCGATGACTGTCAGTTCAAAAGGAAGGCGATCGAGAGAGGGAGAGAGAAAGAGAGAGTTACGCCGAGGCCGCGCGAGAGCGCAAAAAAGGCCGCGGAGGGCAGGGGAACAACCGGATCAACACACTCGTACTCCTAAGCAGACGGTCCCCTAGTTCAGTTTCCCCATCCCCGCCCGGACGAGTACATACACACATACATGCATGCAATCAACAACCCTTGACAGGACATCTAATCA